TATATATATATATATATATGTATAATATAATATTTCATTCTTTAATTTTATATATTCTAGTAATTTAATGTTTACTACTACATATAATGATTTCTTTTAGTGTAGGAATCCCTCGTGCCTTTACATTTTCTTTACTTTTAAACACATATCAGCCCTACTGCCCCTACTGTTGTTATTTAAATTATCATCTCCATGCAATTGGTGAGCCTGAATGTTTTTCTTCTTTTGGCCTGAACTGCCGGCGATCTCGGTGCAAGGATATACGGGTCACTGTCACTTGACTCAATTCTATATTTCTATATTTTATCTTTAGGTTTCAGAAAGTGATATCCATTGCCCAAAATCGCCTAATCCCTTGTTTTTATTAGACTTTTATGCTGAAGTAGACGTTCCACCTTTATATGCATTTAATTTACACATGCGCAACGTGACGATTATAATAACAAATGTTAATAACGTTTTTCAACGATTAACCTTTTTATTATATTATCTATATCTAACTTCAAGCGTGTGGTTTAGTGGTAGGGGCTGATCCACGTTTAAGCAAGGTCAGGGGTTCGAATCCTGTCTTGTGTGTGCAGTCACGTTAAATCTTGAGGCCAGCTATCGAAAAAAAGTATATTATGAAGTGTATGTTTGATTTGATGTCGAGAAAAATTGATCTTTGAACGTAAATATGTACTATGTGAATTTGACTTAAAATAAACAAGTTAATAGAAGTAAAAAGGATATATAGTAGGCTAAGAAATGGTATAATAAAAAGCTTAACATATTTTTAGATATAAAGAAATTTTGAGAAGAGCCCTTATTAATTTAAGAACATGAACTTGATTTGGTAAGAAATAAGAAATGGTATAATTAAATGGAAATCTATTTTATTGAAATTAATGATTAGTTAATTTTAAATTGGTGATAATTGAACCATCGATCGATTTGTTGGTGACTAATATAGATATACTTAAACCGGCGTTCCTTTATGGGTTCATTACTTCATTTGTACTGTTGTAGGATTGTGGCACGTTGGATTCCTCTAAATACAATTATTTCTATTTATAATAATAATTTCAATTCGTATT